TCACAAAATTGGGGGATATTTACAATATGGAACTGTAAAACAATATGGATACAACAACTATTAGTCTAAAGAATGGGATGGATATGGTGCATGATACTAAAAACAGTGTACAGAGTGTATATAAAACTGCTGTAACAGCAAAAGTTTTAGAAATCTGAAAATGATACTTCAACACACTCAAAACAGCAAAGAACTATCTAAATCAGAAAAGGAAAACTCAAAACAGAAAAGAAACATGTTAGTGAATTCAAATCAGCAAAGATAAACAAAATCAGGTTTGTTTAGTTAAAACTAGTTAGTAAACAAAATCTCAAAACAACAAATGAAACTAATAAAAACAACTACTACTAATCTCAAAACAGTAAAGCATTATAGGTTAACCTACAAAAGCAGCAAAAAAAGAAAAGAATTGGTTCAAAACAGCAAAGAAAGTTCAAAAAAGAGAATAAAACTCAAAATGGCAGTACTGCACCTTTCCTAATCTCTAGAAACAGCAAATGACTCAATATGACTCAAAACAAAGCAATCAAAGATGAAATCAGCAAAAAGAAGTTCAAAGCAGCAATATATGTATAAAGCAGCAAAGGAGAACTAAGCAAAAAAATGAAAACTGCCTACTACGCTTCATTCTTGCTAGTCAAGGGTCAATTCTGATTTCTTGTGTGTAAGTGCTCACTTTGTACTCCTTAAAACTCAATCTTTAATCCAAAAATTGAGTCTAGATAAAATGCGAGAATGAGAACCAAGTGTTCATTAATTGAACTTGAATTTCTGATAAAGAAGGAATAAATTAACTAACGTAATGCATGAGTTTGAAACTAGAATCAATAGAGAAGCAGCAAAAGAAGAACAGGAATCATAAGATGAAATAGAAAGCATCTCAGGAAAGTAAAATCAAACGAAAAACAGAATTGCATTAGTGGAACCTGAAACAGCCCTTGAGAATATCACTTGGAATGTACAGAACCAGAGAAAAAGGTTTTTGAGAAACTAACCTAAGCTACTACTACAACAACGCTACTAAGGAAGCACTATTTACACAGGTTTCTAATGACCAGTCAAGCCTTTATATAGGCTGAAGCAAAGAGCTAAAACTGGAAAACAAATGAACAAAACAGGTTTCTAACTCTAGTCCTAGGAAACCTAAACAGCAGGTCAACTTTTCCAGCTTCTTCTAAATTGGACTGGCTAAGGCAGGTCAACATGTTGTGCAGCAAATGTCTAGTCAACTTCCAACTGGCTGTCATAGGTTGCTTCAACGTCACTGCCAGTCTTGGACAAGGTTCAGCTTCTCTGTCCAGCTGTCTCTTCATCTCAAAGCGACAGGTGTGGGTTTCTTTGTCTTTTCCAGCTCTAAAACCTTGAGTAACCTCTCACAGCAGGTGCAACTGCTTGTCTTTCACAGCTTGCAACCAGCCTCTGCCTTCCACTCATTGATTGACTTCTCATTTATTTCCTCAACTGGTCACTAGTCTGCCTTTACTTGTCTTCCTTTTCCTTCACAGCACCTAAAACAAGGAGTTCTCTCAAGTTAAATGTACTAAGGTAAAAATCAATTTAAGCACCAAAACTTAATCTGGAAAATTATGCTGCACATGAAAACAGAAAAGTAAAGCTAGAGACTTCAACTATTCTACTTAGGAAATTACTATGAAAAACTAAACTAGAAAAGCTACTTAAAAACACAAAATTAGAACATTTTCCTAAAATCTCTATTTTTTATAAGAAAACTGAAAATGGATTAAAACCAAAAAATGAAAAACATGACAAATTAGGGACTTAACATTTCTTCTTTTCATTTTCAGGATGATACTGTCAATGTATGCTTCTGTGACAAATATTGTGCCTGACCTGGGTGAACAGTCCAAAATCTCAGGCTGTATCCTTTTGAGGAATTTACTATTCTCTGCCCTTTCATCTGTTTTTTCTGGTATTCTGATATTATCTGTTGATTCTTTTCTTAAAATTGGTTGCTCCTTAATCCTCATTGGCAGATATTGTGGATAAGCATAAAGACGCAGTTGAGAAGTTTGAATATGATACCTCTAAGATGACTGCTTTTGATATATGTAATGGTGTTTGGAAAATAATTAGTGAGTGATGCATGTCAACCACATAGGTTGATACTTGCAACGATGTATTATTTTCTCTATTTTGAGTGGAATCTTAGCAGTCCTACAATTCACTCATTGGTGTAAGAGTTCTGTCTTAATTTATTATGAATTTGCCATGTTGATATTAACTACTCAGAGAAAGGTAATATAACTTGTAATACTCATTTTCATCTGTTGGTTCTTCGTCTCAAAAACATGTCTGTGTTTTGGGTGCATGGGGTCAAATGTTCACTTCAAGTAATCTCTTTCACTTTTTAATCTTTTTTCTTGTTGCCTGTGTGCTGTAACTGATTCAGTGTACTTGCTAGGTACTTTGATATTTAAATTAATTCGTTATCAGAATGATTTACCAATTAATACTATAAGATATGTCACAAAAGTTTTAATAACCATACTTTTGACTTGTATAGGTTTTTTATAAATATTTGATTAGGATTGACTTAATCATAGTCTAATTTTGTTAAACTGGATTACTAATATGTTTAGCTTAATCGGTTGACCAATTAGATCTATTCTGTATGGATCAGTTTCATTTTAGATAAGATGGTTTAATATGATTTGGTGTATGGGTCGGCACATATGTAATAGACCCTGCATTTATTAACACATGCTAAGTAGTTCGCTACTTGCATATCAACTAGTATGCGGTACACTGAAGCATGTATGAAAAGACTCTGCTTTTTCCAGCTGCTTCAGTTTTCACTCTAGTTAGCAGATTTTGTGGCCTAGTTGATACTATATTTTTCTACTTTTATCTGCTGAACTTTTTATAGATAGATATATGGATATAGATATGTATATGTATGTATATACATATTCTGGTTTTATAAATTCTGGTTTTTAATAAAATGCAATGGATATGATGTTCTAAAGTTTCATTTTAAATGTTTATACTTCCAATTGTCTAAAATATTGCCGGAGAGAGAAGACCTAAACTTGCGACATAAATGATTTTATCTTTAACTGCAAGGATGCCTTAAAATTTAGGTTTAATGACATGCTCAGTTGAATGACGTGGCATTAAAATTATTAAAATTGAGCTTTGTTTTAAAAAAATTTTAAAGACCTTTAATTGGGGAAAAAATTTGGGAGGCATTGCGTTCTTTGTTAGGGTTGTTATTATTAGGGTTGTTTGAATAAGCCACCATGTAACGAACAATCCCAATGGAAGATGCAGCTATTCTCAGCTTATTGGCAACATCAAAAGGTTGGATTGCATTGGGTGGTTTATTGTCCAAGTCCCAGAAAAGCCCCACCCTGTTTGGCTTTTCGCTTGGATTCAATTTCTGATTTTTACCCCATTCTGATCCAGAATGATAATATCTCAAGCCAACATGTAGCTTCTAGTGAGAAAAAGCAAATGGTACGAAATCTGGAGACTTTCAAAGGGTTATCTGTTCTTCTGTAAGTCAAATAGCTTTTAAAAGTAACCAACGAGTCCAATCAAGTTTCATTGAAAGAGATAGAGTAATGGAGATTGTAGATAAACCATTTTACACCATTTTTAGAACTGCGAATCGGAGCACCCAACCGGTCGAGCAGGAGAAGTAGAATGAGGGTGGGGGAAGGAAGGGGTCAAAAGGGGAGAGAGCAGCGAAGGTAACGGTGTAGTGAGGAAGTGCATGGTTGGGACATTTCGTCGAACAGTTACTCGGCGAAATAGAAGCGGAAAAAGAACCAACGTGGCACGAATGTGGAGAGTCTTCAAATTCAATCATATGTGAACTGTGATAAACATTACCTAAATTTAAATTTTGTGCACGTTTACTAGCAGGAAACTGTGTGGAAACCTTGGAAGATGAGGAGGGAGAAAATGACGAAACTGCGTAATCCCCCGGCACCGGCGCCGGCGACACCATTGGAGACCTTGTGGGGTCTTCTCCCGACCGTGGAAAGGCCTAGCTGTTTGAGAGTAATTTTTGTCTAACAAAGAACACGATTTTCCCAATTTTTTTCCCAATGACAGCATATCTTAACTGACTCAAATTTACAATAATAAGAACCAATTGATACACCAAAAAGAAAATAAACCTATTTAAGATTTCAGATAAAAATAGAATGAACTTATTTAAAATTTCAGATGAAAATAGAAATTTTTGGTGAGATTAAACCTAAAATTTATAAGTATCGTCTAGAACAAACTTTTATTATTTTATACGAGGTTAATTAATAATTTGCATGCTTAGCTAACGTAAATAATTTACATTGTCAGCTCTTTGAAAGTTTCAAATATAATTTTAATATTAAAAAATAAAAAAAATAATTTTACTATATATATATATATATCACAATTCACAGTGTCAAATATTACAACTAGATTCCTGTTTTATACTAACAAAACACTATTTAGCCTTCCATCACTGAAGTTTTTTTTTTCTTTTTTAAGAAAAGATGGACATTGGGGTGAAATTAAGCCAATAATCTATAATTCGTATAGATGAAATTATATCATTTTAGCAATTAATTACATGCATAAGTATTTATTGTTATAAGATGGGAAATAGTACTTTCATCCAAGCTAGAAAATTATATTAAATTAATATAATTATTTTCATAATATCTTGCAATATGTAATTTTTTTTCTAATAAATACAATTATAGTGTGTCACAAAATATTACATTAGTAAATACAATTATAAGCACGTCACAAATTTCATTAAATCTTATAATTGATATAGATATATAGAAATTTTAAGTTAAATGGTGTTAATAAATGATATTACCAATTAAGTATATTAACCATTCACATGTAAATACAAATCATTCTTCCAATAAGTACTCACTCTCAATCTCATATATGTTTTATACTCATTTATTTTCTTATGCTCGACTTAAGCGTTTATGAATCTTTTGCAGTTTCTTTGGTTTTATTCACATATCAACAATCAAATCTCTCCACATCACTTCAAGGGACTTACACTCTCTTCCCAGTAAGAATATTTGGTGCCCAATACATATATAGAAGTAATACATTAATTAGAGTATAATATGCTAACCAATGATATTAACAATTAATTACCGTAATGATTTACATATGTATGTAAATACGACACATTCTCGAGTACTCACTCTCAGCCTCATATATTCTTCTATATCCATATTTTCTTATACTTTTACTGAATATAGCATTGGATATTCTTCTGTAGGTGGATCTTCCTATGGTTTCATTCACATATCAACGATCCAATCTCTCTATGTCACCTCGAAGGACCCACTATATTTTTCGGTAAAAATAAATTCTTTTTTAAGGGATAAAAGGAAGGTGAATTGTGAAAATGAAAACAACACAATTCAATATCTTGTCCAATATTATAAAACATGATACTAGTGATCCAATTACAAAGTTAGAAGAACCCATTTTAATGATTCAAATAATTACTAACGATGAATTTTATTTAATTTTTCTGAAAAAACATCCTCAAATATTAGAATATTTAATGAGTCAAAGAGATAAAGTTGGAAAAGGTTGTTTAAAATTGGTCCATAACAAATACAACTTCAAAACTATCTTCTAAGGAGAAACATCTAAGAAGATATCAATGTACTTGGTTTAAATTGTTTATCTTCTAAGGAGAAACATCCAACTAGTGATGAAGCTTATTGTTTGTCATGTTATCTATTTACTTAAAAACTAGTTGGTCATCTTATCTACATGTTTACTAGACAAGGATTTAAATTATAAAAAAAGGTTAATGCAATAAATAATTGTTCATTTCTTAGTCACATAAGAGATAGTCTTTACTCATAACATAACTATGCAATGAAAGGTTGCAAAGACTAGTTGAAACAATCTATGCACATCAATAACATTATAGATATTCAAAGTTTATAAAAAGTTTACAAGAATCATTTACGGTTAAAAACCTTTATTGATATAATTCATTGGTTAACATTTCAAAGTGCATTTAGAGGCCATGAGAAAATACTAAAGTCAAATAATGGAAGTAACTTTCTTGAGATTATTAAACTTCTATTATCATATAATGATAAAGTTGTTGGCAAAAGAGAAGATGATGAAAATCAAAATATTTTGATGATGAAAAAGCATGTCCAAGAACTCAAACATGCAAAATATATTAGTAGACTTGTAGTTTAGAATGTTTGAAAATTAGACCTTTTGTAATAAGTCTTATTATGAACAAAATGTTTGAAGGACTTAGTTTAGAGAGTTACAAACCAGCATGCACAAAATCACTCAAAAAAGTTTTAAATGTTTCAAAAATCCTCTATGATAATCGATTAACTATAGTGATAATTAATTACTCAAATTAATTAAGATGTTTTGGAAAAGTTTCTATGATAATTGATTATCACTTCTAGAAATTGATTATCACATAGAGAAAACAATTTTTAGAAAAGTTTTAGTGATAATTGATTATTACCTTCTGGTAATCGACTATTACATTGATTGAAAAGTTTCTGCGATAATCAATTATCACTTTAGATAATTGAGTGATAATTGATTATCAACGATAGTTACGACCAAATTCTTTAGTTTTTTGACCTAATTTTTAAAAGTAAGAGTTTTTATATTTTGGCTAAACATAGTTTTTAAAACAAATTTTTACTCAGAGGTTTGGAGTTGTGACTGCTAGAGAAACTCTGTGTGTTTGTGAAAAAGGCTTTGAAAAACCTAGTGTGGGTAGAGTGATAACTTTCACCAAGTGGGTTCTTGGGTGATTAAGTGTTGCTGCTATTGCTAGAAAAACTTGTTTTTCCTTTGTGTAATTCAAATGACATGTTCATTCCTTGTGGATTTCAAGGGAGGTGTCTTTCATCTCTTGTGTATTCAAGAGAGGTGTTTTCTAAACCTAAACTTTAATATTTGTGATTGTAAGTTGTAGTTATTTTAGTGATTGATTAATTTCTCTTTAGAAAGATTAACAACGAAATATATGGTCTTTTGGTCATAATCAATATAAAATTACTTGTGCAAATCTTTCTTTGCATATACTCTTTATTAAAGAAATCAATTCACTCCCTTTTGATATTCTCCAAATGCGATTACTATGTTGTGCGATTCTAATAAAAGTGACACGAGTTGTATTAGAAAATTTTTCATATAATGCAAAATATACTTCTCATCACATTAAAAAAGAAGTCTTATATATTTCTAGAAAAGTAAGTAGTAGTCATATTCGACATAAAATTAGAGATTCTAAATTTTGCA